TTTAAATCAGAATCAAAACGGAAAATAGTTTTTATGAGAATTAAAATCGGTAATTAAAATAAATTAATTATGGATTTATGGGTAACGGATGTTTTAAACCTATAAAAGGACCTAAATCTGTAGAGTTTGATATAGTGTGAAAAACACAACATATTCTCACTTCTTCTCTGTTATTCCTCTTCATATTACTGTTGTTATATTTTTGTTGGTTCCCTGAAAGTCACGAAGAATTCGCAAAACCTTCTTGAAGCTCGTGCCGACGAGAAGGAGGTCGCCTGACCGAGGATCGTTGTATCTCCGGGAACTTTTGCCGCGTAGCCCTGTACGAGAGGGGGCAATTAGTTTCTTGGGACAGTGCTTGCACGTCTCGATCATCAGGCTATATTCTAAACTCAGTTTAATTTTATATCTATTTTGAATCATTATCTAATTCTGTTAAAACTGCATTTTGTGCTAATTACACTCTAAACAGTTTATATTCCCAACATATTACACCTCTGTTTTGTACGTTGCTGTAAATTTTGTAAACCATGTAAAGTGAGCATGGGAATCTGAAAAATAATCACCTTTGATTTCATAGTATGAGGTCACTTATAGAGTAAGAACCATAAAGAGTGATCATATGCATGATCAGGCCATTTATTTAAGGTTTTATAAAATGGCTAGATAAAAAGAATATCCTTGAAAATTTTAGGCAAAATTTTCAAACTTTGCCTTGGTCTTGAAGGAAAGGTAGATTATAACTAGCCTAATCCCTGCATACTCTAAAGGGCTGTTTGTCTCCTTACATTTTGCAACTTTACATTGAAAAAATGGGACGTACAAGACCAAAATCTTGAATTTTGACTAAGTTCATTGTTTGGTTAGTATTTTTTATCATAAAATTAGAGTTGTCACATAGGACTAATGCATTTATTCTAATTCCCTAAAAATATACTTACACTAGTAGAAAAACGATCAACCTAGACGGAAATTTCCTTCTAGGTTGATTGCAATTCCGTCTAGATTAGTTCATCTAGACGGAATTCCGTCTAGTTTGATTGGTTTATTTTGCTTCCGTCTAGATTGCTTCAAACTAGACGGAATTCCGTCTAGATTGATCAATCTAGACGGAAGTCAACCTAGACGGAATAAAGAATTCCGTCTAGGTTGACAACCCAGACGGAATTCCATCTGGGTTGATTACCCAGACGGAAATTCCGTCTGGGTTGGATTTTTACAACCTAGACAGAATTTCCGTCTAGATTGATTCAATCTAGACGGAATTCCGTCTAGATTGTCTTTTTTCAGGGAAAAAAAATTAATTAAAATTTGGATTTCCCTATACAATTACATTAATATTTGAATACATCCAGAAAATACTGTACACACCACATTCAACCATCCAATCATAATCAAAATTCATAACAATTCCATTCAAAAACATCTATATAACCAAATCCAACACATTGTACAAATCCAACCATCCACTTCAAAATATACATCAATCAGTTCCGTCTAAAACACATCCAACAACATATATACTAACAATGCACATGACTAAGATATGATACACGACATGAATAAATATAGTGTTATAACAAATAAAACTGTTTATTGCATTAAAAATAAAAAAACCTCATCCATCGTCGTCGGCGGGGGTATCTCTATCCCGATTACGAGAATGAGTGCTGCTCCCTCTAATATCTCCACTCTGAATGTTTAATTGAATAATCATTATGTGGTGTTTGATAACATATTAGATAAAAATGAATTTATAAATATAAGAAAAAAATAAGGTACCTGAGCACTACTCTGTCTAGCGCCGGAATTATCGCCAATCGAGCTAATGATCCGTATGACACCACCATACGCGCTATAAGGAATAGCACCGCCTAAATATTGTATAACATACCCCATGAGATCGTCCATCGAGTTCGCCGTCAGCGCAACTCTAGTCATCTCATTAGTCACCTGAATATGCAGCTCCGGGTCAATTTTGTCAATCAGATACGCAGAGATACGTGCGACAAATGGCATAGCCTGGAAACTGCTTGTGGCTGCTCTCGTCGATGTAGATGGTGTGGAGGATGCTGTGGACGATCTGATGCTTATACCAGGTGAAGCTCCGACACCATGTAGAGGATATCTTCCTCTCCTATTATTAGGGAGAAATAAATATTAAACTTTGCTCTCAAATTCAATAATGGTAAACAAATATAAATAGTATGTAGTATTCAAATTGATTCGATTTTTCACCATCCTTACCTATTATGACCCATCAGGTTCTGTGTGAGATTGATGTTCTCCTCTGCAGAAAGCATGTGAGGGTCTGGCTCGGTTTGTTCCTCCTCCTGCGAAATGTAGACAGATGCAACCTCCTTGGATGCGTTCTCAAATCCCTCCTAAAGCACAAATTTATAGTTAATTCAAGATAATGACCATATTATTTGTGTTCTCGTTTCCTCGTAATGTTAACAAAATAGAATTAATAATACTACTCAAGATATGTATAAATCTCACCACTAACTCGAGATTTTTTGTGATCTTATCCCGATTCCTCTCATCACCCCTATATTGTTCACGAAAAGTACCATATGCCGCTCTGGCCCTCAAGTGTATCGGCATTAATGATTTCCCCTGTCATATTATAAATTATGAGATTTCATAATCATACTAAACATTAAGATCTTTTAAATCTTTAAATGACATATACCGTATCTTGACAATAAACATCCTCCAGATTGGCGTAGGAGTGTGAGCCCAATTGATGGTCATGCAGCTTCTTTCTTCTATTTTCTGACCCATTTGTGGATTTATTCTTTAAAAAAAATTCTGTAAATATAAAATGAAATAATATCTTAAAATTATAAACTAAATTTTATGAAACTAACCTTGGCGGCATCGCTGTCCCAATACATGAGGAGAGCCGTGAAATGAATCTCGTCAACTCGGTCATCGAGGTTTAAAAACCTCTGCCAGTCCTCCTCATACCTGTCATAGGTTTCATGTTTGATCTCATGCCTCCATTGTTTGAGGACTGCTTCAACCTTGACATTAAACACATAATTCCAAGCCCCCTCAAAGTCCTCAAGGCAGAAGCAGTCCTGTAGATTTACATACACATTTAGTAAGGATAATTTAATATCAATTACTAATTATTAATAAATGAAAATCTAAAACAATATGCACTTACCATAAGCGCAGTCCATATTTCCTCGTATGCGGTCCATGGTAATTCTCGAAAATGAAAATAAGGGTTGACAATGGTCGCTCTACGCACGAGAACCCCAATATATGCATTCAATCGGGTTGACCAAGGACCAACGGGTAAATTAGAACTATTCCACCTAATAATGCCCCTCATTCCTCTTGGCGGTTGTTTAGAATCAGGCTTACCTCCGCCACGTCGTCCCTCTATGCGATCCTTCTTAGCACCTACAATAATGACAACATGATAATATATCATATAATATACAAATGTGAAAATTAAAAGTATTTATATAATTTACCATTCGCTATCTCTCTTTCTTTTGCTGCGAGTGCAACAGCTTTCCTAGTCTCCAACATAGGAAGCATTTCCTGATACCTTCTCGTAGCACGTGGGTGGTACTTCCTTGAATCAGCCTTGGACTTATGAGAGTCCGGAGGTAAAGGTAAACTGAGAAAGTCCTGGGTCTTTGGCCGCAAGTCAGTATGGAATGTATATGATGGATATGTCGGGGTCCAAGTAGCACCTACATAAGAAAGAAGAATCATTAATATTAAATTTTAATTGAACATTATTAATTATTAAATATTTAATACCTGCGTCGGGGGATGGTTCTGGTGCTGCGTCGGGGGATGGTTCTGGTGCTGCATCAGAGGGGTCGGGTGATGAATATCCAGCATCTACAACAAATGAACACTATGAGCTAGCTAACTAAAAATTTATAAAATATGTTAAAGTATTAATTAATTTTTATACCTGCATCCGAAGATGGTAGTGGATCATCAGCACCACTACCTAGGGTGATACTCCGTGAGCGATCACCCTCCAGGTCAAAGAGCCTCCTCATCCTCCTCCTCATCTGCAAATATAATAAAAACAATCGTTAAGAAAAAATTGTATACATGCTCATGAGATATGTTGTTATGAAATGCATTATTGTTTTTATTATGATAAGATAAAAATCGATAATGTGGTGTAACATATCAGGTTCATACCTACATCCAGCGCCACATTCTGTGCGTAAGAGAATTCTTGCCAAACATCATCAGATGAACCGATTGGTTCACTATAATTATCTTCACTTTCTTCAATATTTTTTTTATTGTTATTAGGAAGAACAACAGATCTTGGCTCCTTGTACAAAACCACCCAATCATACATGACATTCAGATCTTTCACATAGAAGCACTGATCAGCTTGTTCTGCGAAAATGAATTTCTCATCCGTATATAGTTATCGGTGAAGATTGACTAGTGTAAATCCATAATGATCCTTTTGCTTTTTTGCAGGACACCACCGAACCTTGAACATCGTGTAAGTACATTGTTTTGTTGAATTGTAACCCGGAGACGGATCTGCCAACTTTAATTTTTTATAAGGACAAGTGCCTTGAGCTTGCGTTTATAGGTTTTTCAAAGCAGTCGATCTTGGGCCCGCGCTAGTAGATATCCCTTCGGATTGTTTGCTCTTGTAGAGGAGTTAGATACTATGTTATACAGTATATTTTTCTATTGATAACATTTAGTTGTCTGTCCAGATTTTAGATTCATATTTTTATTCAATTATGTTATCACATATATTTTTCTCACTTAAAGTGTTAGATCCATTCTCTAGGTAATGTTTGGCTTCGTCCTAACTTGCATTTCGGAGCCTTTCGTACGCTTCAGATGGTTTTTTACTTTAAGTAATCTCTTATCCGAGCGTTTAATTCAGTAGAATAGTTTTTTTTCCAACACACACTTTTGGACCTAAGTAAATGACGATCTCAGTACCTGTCAAGTTGAGGGTCTCTTCTTTTCTTCAAATGTACATCAAACTAGTGATAATTTTTGTACTTATGACTCGCAGGGACGAACGACTGTCGATTAAACCATAACACTCTTTCGGCTATGTGCGTATTGAATAGCTTCAAATTTCATTGACACATACAGGACAAGCAACACTGTGCCTTTGTAGTGATAACCCTGACAGAATTAGCATAGCATAGAAATCATTAATCGTTATAGTAGATGACGTATTAAACGACTCTTTTAATGCATCATATGCTAAAATACCATCAGACATATTTGTTTTTAGATCATCATTAGATGGCTTAAGGTAGACATTCATTCTTTCCGGAGCTGCTTTACGCGGTACAGTAATGAAAGGTATCTAAACGGCTGTTTCATACAAGCAATGGACGGTAAATTATATCGGCTTATCAACTGCCAAGTGACCAGGCAGAGATTATTACCCCAAATGGGATTGAACACGCTTGATAGACCGGTTTAATTTCTTGCAATTTCGGCAACGAGGTAAATTTTATCAAATGCCTTCAAAGTTAAAGCATCAGGCAGATGTCTATTACATGTGCTACTCGATCATCCTTTATGCACTATTATTCTTTGCTGTTTCCTTGTATCATGATTAATCTTCGCAATTAGGGCAATTGGAATGTCGAAAGCAATTTGACTGGAATTTTCTTCTGTGTTATCATCGTCTTCCGTTGTATCCTTGATTGTAAGAATTTGGTGACGCTGTTCAACCTAGGAAAATCCGACATGTCGGACACGCTTTGAAGTTTTATTTGGGCTTTGTGGTACAAAAATACAACTCATGTCGGACCATGCATCAATCTTTTATATCAAAGACCAGAGCGGAGACATTCTTCTCAGCTTGATAATGTTGTTTGGGGTTGTATTCTCTCCTCAGGGATTGCAGCTCCGAGCAATCAAGAAGCATTTCAGAATAATTATGCTGAATACGCTAAGTGTCTTTATATGGAAGGAGTTTCAGCATAAATGAAAATCTGGAGTACTCGGTACATCCCTCATATAAGTCCTTTTCACTATCTTGTTAGAGAATATATTTGTGCGTATAAAATACGGTTCAAACTAGAACAAAATGAATAAAACCACAACTGTTATTTGATATCCAAAGTGAAAAACATAACCAGAGAGTTAAGATCAGGCAGATAATGGCCATGAAATATCAGTTATCTTGTCTTAGTGCTTTTCTCAACTTCCACTGGTGCTTTTCTCAACTTCCATTTATTATATGTTGAATTAATGCAGTCTCATTTAATAAAATTTGCAAATGCACACCTTCTATTGATTGATCTCTTGTCCACGTGTTAATAATATTCAAGTGATATAGAACACATGAATATTTTTGTACATGTGAATATTTCTAATTTCTCATGCACTAATATTTCATCCCCATGATTAGTGCACTGTGATATATGATAGTAATTATTACTTGGCATCGAACGTTCATTTTTTTTTACTGGACACACCTGTGATTTTTGCACGATTATATCTCTTGATTCTTTAAGTATCTTTGTCCAGAAGACAAACACTTTAAATTTTCTCTCTATCAATTAAGACGTGAAAAATTAATACCTCAGTGAAAAAGTATTCACTTTTCTGGGCAATCCCTGAAGGATCGCTTTGATCTATGAAAACCAATTCCCTCAAACGCAACTAGCAGACTGAATCAGAACTTTTTGGATTTCAAATACATGACTAAATATGATTCAGCTCTGTACCAAATTATCTAGCAGCTGAAACTCTGTAAGCAGAACATTACAGACAGTGATAAAATTGATCGAAAAATTCTTTTTCCTATTCCACGCAAATAATATTGTACTCCAGCAGCAGTACATGACCAAGAATTACACTTAGCATTCTGAATTGATTAGTAGTCGCAGAGAAACACAATCAATTGATGATTAGAAATCACAATGTCAGACTAGTTGGCTTACGAGTTGTGTTTGTAGCACATGCTACAATTTAGAAAATTACTTATACGCGTGGACAAGGGGGAGGCTATGAACATAGTAGGAGATCTTATCATGTAGCCATTTTTGGATTTTAAACCCTCGACTGAATACAATTTAACAAGTAATCTTGTACTCTTATAATAGTACAATTAAAAGCATTATGAACTAATCCTTGCATTAGTAGCTATTAAAAACACAACTAGCTGTTGTGAGAAACCATAATACAAGTTTAATTGGTTCAGTCGTAGTGCCTGAAGCACATGTCATAATTCAAATTAATATTCATAAGCTCGGACGAGGGGGAGGTAGTAGATCTTATTGAGGTGGTCAAGGTAAACTATTTGGTTTTTCTATATTTGGATTATATGCATTTGTCAGACAATTTTAATTTATCTTGATTTTGCTTTAAATTCTTGTGAACCTATGTGGTTTTTATTCATATGTGTATATTTTAGAATTTGTCTGACCTAAAATACACCATGTTGCGATAAGTTTAAGATTTAGGGACCCAAATTCTTTTAAATTCTGGCATGAGCGATTGGGTCATCTTGGGCAAAATATGATTTGTCGGATTTCCTTAAATTAAATGGGGCATTCAAACCAAATCCGACCAACTGCATATCACAATTTTCCCCTTTATCTAATACGTGGTGAAGAAGCGAAACATTTTCCATCTGCGTGTTCTTTATTTGTAGTACATGTTTCTATATCACCACCATAGCGTACCTCTATATGACCTCGGTGAAGGTACATACATTATTTATGAAACTCTGTCAATAATTTAGTACATATGGCCCATGTTAGGGGATCAATTTATAAATTGGTACGCTCACTGTATTTTCATTGAAGATCAATTCTCGACATTAGGGGGAGATTAGTGCCCAAAATACAAAATAATGTCAAGAAATTCCATTGGTGAAAAAGATCTTCAATATTTATATCCACGTAATAGTCAAACTGAACCAGAAGTTCACATGATAATCTGCCAAGAAAAGAGTGACTAAGCCCCATGTTCATGTTGAATATATCATTGATGATTTGATATGCCAGAAGCATATTGTGCCAAAAGCATATAAAACATGTTAGTGTAAAAGATAAAAGTCTGCGACAAACTAAATTATATATATAGAAAGACAGTCACTCCCATAACCTCCAGAAGAGGTTCATCCTGAAGATGGAATCTCCAGTAAATTGCACGTGCACTTGATAATCACAATACTGGAGATGCGGAACGGCCAAATCCAAACGTTAAGGGAAATGGCGAGGATTCGATTGACATAAAATAAGAATTAAAGTGGCCACGAATTTGTGAAAAAGGAGAAATATATAATATAAATATAAAAGTTGTCGACAACATAGTTGCCTCTATAGTTGCTCTTACTATCTCCGAAAATAATCTGGATCCAGAACCTAAGTCGGTAGTAGAGTGCTTGAAGCACTCGGACTAGGTGAGATGGAAAGTAGCAATTGTGGTTGAGCTGAACTCGCTAAAGTATTTTGAACCTGTAGTTCATATATCCCTGCAGGGTATAAATGGGTCTTCGTAAGAAAAATAAATGGAATTGTAAGGTGGTGAGATATAAAGCGAGATTCATAGCTAAATGGGTTCACGCAGAGACCCAACATCGATTTAGATGTAAAATATTCTCCTATTAGTGATTGTATTACGTTCCGCAAGTTAATACATATGACAGAAACTATGAATTTATATATGCAGTATATGTACGTCATGACCACATTTTTATATGAGTCATTAGACGCTAATATTTTTATATGAAAGTCACTGATGGACTTACAATTTCTGAATTAAGAGAAAACAAGAATCGCAACATGTAAATTATAAAGGTCGTTATACGACTTGAAACAGTCAGGTAGAACGTGGTATAACCGACTGAGTAAGTTCCTCCTGAAGAGGAGATATGTAAATAATGATGTATGCCCTTGTGTGTTTATAAAGAAATTCGAAAATGGCTTCTGTATTATATCGGTCAATATTAATGAT